CCACCTTAGGTGTACGTGGCTGGCGCCTTAGCCAGTTGAGCTATAGGCGCTGAGCCCAACATATCTTTCTTATAGAACAATTTCAAATAGTATGTGTAGATGAATCACCCTTTAGGAAGTGATGTTTAATTCCTACTGTCTCTAATGATAGGCTAGATTCAATGACTTGTTTCCAAAGAACAGAGCAGCAAATGGGAACAACAGTAATTTTACAGTAAAGAAACATGGCAAATACTACCTAAACCAAATGATGGAGGTAACATTTCCAGTGATACAATCTGATGAATACATCTGTTGTATTCATCTAAAAACCTATAATCCCATACTAATTGTAAGAAAGACATGAGATAGGTGGCATCTGTGGCTAAAAGGGTAGGGTGCCAGCCCCATATGCCGGAGGTGGTGGGTTCAAACCCAGCCCTGGGCAAAAAAAAGAAAAGAAAAGAAAGACATGAGATAAACCCAGACTGGAGACTTTTTAGGTCTCCCACCTATTGAGTACGATGTAGGAGTATATGGCACACTTCTTAGGTGAAGGACTCAAGTACAACTCAGACTTTGGACTTTATGCTACAAATGCAAATAATGTAACCTGATCATATCATATTAACCCATAATAATTTTTTTTTTAAAGACTGTAAAGGTGGCTGGGTGCAGTAGCTCATGCCTGTAATCCAAGCATTGTGGGAGGCCCAAGTGGGTGGATTGCTTGAGCTGATGGATTTGAGACCAGCCTGAGCAAGAGTGAGACCTCCAACTCTAAAAAACAGCTGGGCATTGTGGCAGGCGCCTATAGTCCCAGCTACTTGGGAGGCTGAGGCAAGAGAATTGCTTGAGCCCCAGAGTTTGAGGTTGCTGTGAGTGATGATGCCATAGCACTCTACCAAGGGTGACAAAGTCAAAAAAAAAGAGAAAAGACCGTAAAGGTCATGAAAAACAAGACTTGAGAAACTGTTATAATTCAGAGGACAGTGAGGAGACATAATAACTAAAAGCAGTGTGGTATCTTGGACTGACTCCTGGAACAGAAAGAGGACATTAATGGGTAAACTAATGATTCTAAACAAAATATGGAGTTTAGTTAATAATAATGTATTAATGCCAGTTTCTAAGTGTTGGCAAATGTACTATGGTAACATAAGATGGAGAAACTAGGCTGAAGGTATATAGGAACTCTGTGAATTATCTTTGCATTTTTTCGGTAAATCTAAAATTACTTGAAAATAAAAAGTTTATTAGAACATGTGTATATGATATAGCATAACAGAATTCAATCTTTTTTCTTTTATAGCTTATTGACAGTAAAGAATTATGAACCATTTAATCTAAATCAAGTAATAAAAATATAAGGCGGAAACTTAAAAAACTCATGGTTTGGAATTCAGGTCTTATCACTTGTTATTATGACTGTTTTTATAACCTATATATATTATCAGAGGAAAAAGTGGGAATAATAAGGTTTACTTCAGGCTCGGCGCCAATAGCTCAACCGGCTAAGACGCCAGCCACGTACAACTAAGGTGGCGGGTTCGAATCCCCAGCCCGGACCCGCCAAACAACAATAATGGCTGCAACCAAAAAATAGCCGGGCGTTGTGGC